CTTACCACGACATGAAATATTGAAGTCATCCACGAAAAGGGACCCATCAACGCAACTGTTCAGAACGTTAGTGAGGCTGTTAATTTTGATGCTAAAAAGTGTGACAGACAGGATGCTGCCTTGGGGGACGCCCTGATCTTGGTGGAAATAGTCGGACAGTGTGGAACCCACCCGAACTTGAAAATGTCTGTTATTTAAAAACCGAGATATGAATTGAGGTAATCTACCCCTCAATCCAAACTCGTGTAAATCTTTTAGGATACCATGTTTCCATGTTGTATTATATGCTTTTCTAAGTCGAAAAGATAGATACTGCATGTTGTTTGTTGACAATGGAGTTTTTGATGAATGATTCTAGACGCACCAGATGGTCAATGGTACTTCGGTTTTTTCGGAAACCACATTGGAGGTCACTGAGGAGGTTATTGGTCTCCAGGTACCAGATTAATCGATTGTTGACCATGCGCTCCATGGTTTTGCAAACGCAGCTAGTTAGTGATATAGGACGGTAGTTTGAGGGATCAGTATGATCGCGGCCAGGTTTTGGTATAGGGATGATAATGGCATTGTGCCACGAAGGGGGAAAGTGTCCGGATGTCCAGATGTCATCAAATATATTTAGGAGTGTTTCCAAGCCTGAGTCAGGGAGGTGTTTCAGAAGCTGATAATGGATTTCATCAGCTCCTGCCGCAGTGTCGTGAGCCTGTCCTAGGGCAGTACTTAATTCATGGAGGAGAACATTTCGTTGTAATCCTCCCATTATCAGAGTTAAAATTGACTGGTTTCTTTTCTTGTTGGGTTTGATATTTCTGGAACCGAGGGTTATAATTTGATGAGGAGGAGTGGTTTGCCAAAGTTTCACCGAGTTTGTTTGCAATCTCAGATTTATTTGTTAGAAGGGAGTCACCATCTTTCAGGTGGTGAACTCCTGATTTTGACCCTTTGCCCTTGATCTTTGAATCATGTTCCACACCTTGGACATGGGTGTGCGGGAGTTGATTTTGGACACATATTTCCTCCATGAGCGGCGTTTAGTTTGTTTGAAGGTACGTTTTGCCCTGGCATTTGTCATTTTAACAGCATTCAGGTTGTGCACTGTAGGATGTTGTCGGAAATATTTTTCCGCCTTCTTCCTATTTTTCCTAGCTTGTTTGCAGTTTGTATCAAACCATGGTTTGCGTATGTGCGGGTTTGCAGAGGACTTAGGAATACTTTTGTCTCCGATGGCATTTAGGACGTCTGAAAATAGTTCCATGGGGTCAGAACATTCCTGAAGTTGTCCGGCTTAAGTTTTTCTGAACATAGGGTTTGGAATAAAGGCCAATTGGCCTTAGTAAAATTCCATCTTGTTGATGGTGGTTCATCCGTGGGGTTGATAGGAGTAAGAATTGTTGGGAAGTGGTCGCTTCCACAAAAGGTCGTCATGGACCGACCATTCGAACTCATTTAAAAGATTAGAATCTGTAAGTGATAGATCGAGAGCAGAGTATGTTCCGGTGGCAGGGTGGAGGTAGGTGTTTGATCCATCGTTGAAGATGCAGACATCATTATTTGAGAGAAACTCTTCAAGTATCTTTCCCTTACTATTTGTATCAGTACTCCCCATAGGGGTTATGGTTGTTGAAGTCGCCCATGATTATGCAGGGCTTCGGGGAGTTGATCATATAAGTTCTGAAGATCTGATAGGCGAACAGTTGAGGTGGGAGGGAGATAGAGGGAACATAGTGTAAACCCTATGTTCAGAGTCATGCGGACAGCAACAGTTTGTAGGTTGGTTTTAAGTGGGACAGGGCTATGAAGGATGCCCTGCCTCACCAGGATAGAAGTGACTCCTGTAGCCTTTACACCGGGGAGAAAAGGAATGGTAGGAACTGTACCCGGCCGGATGTCAAATTTATCGGTCCTTTTTAGGTAGGTTTCTTGGAGACAAAACGCAGATGGTTTGAAGTCTTGAATCAATAACTGTAATTCATTATAATTATTCTTAAGTCCTCTGCAATTCCATTGGATCATGTTTTGTGGATTCATGGTGCTTCCACTGGTGACATGTCACGTGGCGTGAGGAAGCGTTTGATGAACTCTTATTGGTGTCAGGTGGAGTTGGAGTTACCTCCATATCCAGAGAGGCCAAAGGAGTTATGGACCTCGATGGGACCTCTGAAGGAGAGGTGGCCTTTGGTTTTGTGTTTGGTAGTTCAAGTTGTTTTAGTCTCTCTAGCCTCTTTCTTTCCCTTTTTCTGCGCGTAGATTCTGTTTCTGGTTTTGGCATTTGTTCTGGTGTTTGTGATTCAGAAGTTTTGACTTTTGGCGTTGGAGATGGAGTGGCTGAGATAGGCTGAGTTGTGTTGAGTTCAGTTGGCTGAGAGACGTGACCCATGTCAGGTCGGTCTGACATGAGATGGTTGCAGTAGTGATAGTAGGACGGGAGACAGCGGCAGAGTAGGTGATGGTTGAAGGGGCTGCAGTTAGACTTGCAACCCTCTTCTTTGCTTCGTGAAAGGAGATATTTTCTTTGTGTTTAATCTTCAGTATCTCGGATTCGCGTTTCCATACTGGGCAGAACTTGGAAGAGGCCATATGGTTACCACCGCAGTTTGTGCACTTCACTTCCTTAGTACAGTCGTTGCCCTCATGCTTGTCACCACAGCGGTAACAGACAGCAGAGGAACGACAGGACTTGGATCCATGTCCAAACTTTTGGCAGTTGTAGCACCGGAGTGGATTGGGGACATACACCTCCACACCAATGCTACAATAACCAGCTCTAATCGAGTCAGGAATGTTTGCTCGTGCGAACGTGAAGAGATAGGTGTTCGTTCGTTGAACAGCACCATCCTTTTTGAAGGTAAATCGTTTGACGGCTGTGACGGATTGCTGAGAGAGTTCCTTGACAATTTGTTCTTCAGTCATGTCAGACAGGCATCGAGCTCTGTCCCGTACAATGCCTCTACACGAATTAAGGGTTTTGTGTGCTGAGACAGCGACCTTGATATTTACAAATTCTTGTATTTTGAGAAGATTTAAAGATTGTTGTTTCGGGTACATTCTATCAGGAGAGAGCCAGTTCGAGCTTTGTGACATTGGCAACCTCTCCGCAGATACCAGCGATACCTTTGGAGATTGCAAAAGGGTTCAATTGCAAAGGTTGCTTGTCACAAGCCTCAATAATCAGGAAGCGTGGCCAGTAGTCAGGTCGAGTACTCTCGTCAGACGAGGAATTGTCGGTATCCATGTGTCGTCGTTTTGAACCGGGGTATTGGGAAGCCATGTCGTGGGTAATGTGGTTCAGCATCCCTCTCCCCACCCACCGTGGAGTGTCAACAAGGACGATCTTATATTGCAGCGGATCTCCAAGCTGCAAAGACCAGGGATAAAGGGATGTTATACTCCAGCGAATTTGACATGAAATGCTGTAGCTGCCTACCAGATTAAAGGTCAGGATGGTTCTGTCCATGACAATCAATTGGAGACGTACAGAAATCGGAGGTCAGCATCACCAGATTGGCCCATGAGCCACCGCCTTCTGTGCATGGGTCTGCGAGGCTAATTTGTTCCGTAGGATATTTGTTAGCATTTTGAACATGGCCAAAAGTGTTATGTAATACTACGTTTTGTATAGACATTCCATGCACAGGGCAAGGCGTGACCAGCCGATTGGTAGAATCGGGCCTATTCTACCACCCGTCTAGGCAAAGTTAGGGTCGAAGTGGTGTGTTGGATTAGTGAACACTATTGCCGGTTCCGTCATCCTCAACCACCAGACTCCCTTCCTCTGCCGACACAGGGATGCAACCCAAGGCAAACGGGTTGCCCAATTTGATCGCCTCTTACGACCAGCAATGGGGTGCTGTGGACCTATTCGACCCCGGGTCCACACAGGGGCGAAGAGCCATTGGCGTTACCCAGCACCCACCACGAGGAGGTTGCTCTTCAAGGGGTGCCAGACCAAAGCGTGGCTTGAAAAACAAGCCCTGTGGCAGATCTATTTGCTGCCACCGAGCTACGTGCCTAGAAGGAAGTTCGGTATTAACATACCCAATAGCGTTCACCAGGCAGACCTCCTATTCCTACCCCACGACAAGAGGTACAAGTATGCCTTAACCGTAGTGGATGTGGCCAGTCGCTACAAGGAAGCCGAACCCTTGACCACGAAAGATTCGGTCCAGGTAGCCCGCGGATTCGAACGCATATACAAACGCAGTCTGCTGACGTGGCCAACAGAGCTGCAAGTTGACCCCGGGCGGGAGTTCATGGGTGTCGTGTCACACCTGTTAGACAAACACGATACAAAGGTCAGGCGTGGCATGGCCGGAGCCCATCGCAGCCAAGCCATAGTTGAGAGATTTAATAGGACTTTGGCTGAGCGCTTATTCGGACATCAGTATGCGAGGGAGATGGTCAACCCGGGAAAACGATCGACTGAATGGGCCGTGAGGTTACCTAAGGTGGTGTCGGCAATCAACCATGAAGTCACCCGTCTCACCCGCAAGAAACCGGCAGACGCTATCAAACTAAAATCAATAGTTGCAGAGTCGGCTGCTCCATTGTGTGGGAAGGAGAAACAGATACCAGATAGGGCCCTAGTGAGGTATCTATACCAGCCGGGGGAACATGAGGGTGATAGCCGTAAGCGAGCCACCGATCCTATATGGTCAGTCAAAACTTAGATAACATAGATAAAGTGGACATGAAAGCAGACGAGCCTAACTTGTACTACTTGAGGGATGGGCCAGGCAGAGGGTTTGTAAGAGAAGAATTATTGATCGTACCGTACGGCACAGTGTTACCTCCTGTCAACACGGCATAGCGATGATGCAATGATGCAATACCCGTTAAACTGACCTACTTCAGCTAAGTCCGCAGTAGCTCAGTCGGTTGAGTGGTGCGACCCCATTATGTATAGTCTGCGCAAGCTGTACATGTGGGTTCGTATCCCGCCGTCACAACTTTGTGCGATGTGAGGTTCTCTCACGGTGAGAGACACAATTCCCCTTGGGAGGAAGCGCATTACATTTCTATTTCTCCCTTGGGGAATTGTGGCTGCCGGGGACATTTTACTACTTTTAAGCAGTAGGGGTAATGGTAGCAAGAGCTAAGGGTCCGACCAAAGCCTTATTTGGGAAATAAGGCTTTGCAGAGGCTGTTGTTGGACCTGGTCCCGGACAATCATTCCCTCTACTACTCATTTAGTTTAATTGGAAATTTTTGGAAATCACCATTTTTTTCTTGTGAACATTATCATAATTTGCCTGTAATTGCTGATTTGAAACTGGCGGAAGTGTCACAGTGGCAGTCAACAAAGCCTGATGCCAATTTGGAATTAACCAAATTTGAGAGGGTTGATACAAACCACTTGTTTTATCAACAAGTCTCATTAGAACTCAAACAGTTATGTACCAATCATACACGTTTATACCCATCTGGATCAAAGAATGGAGACAAGTGAGTGAGTGACTTGCAATTTAAGTGAGTGAGTTAAAAGTTAAAAATTTGGGAATATTTTAGCCATATCGTGACTAGTGAGTAAGTGAGTGAGTTAAACTTTACCGTCACATCGGCAATATTGCAACCATATCGTGACGAGGATTTGAATAATAAACACAGTCGCAATAATTTAAGTCAATTATTAAACCCTGTCAACGACGGACGGTAAAATAACTAGAGGATCACAGATATAGATATAAAATTAGTATGAAAAACTACAAAAACTTTTACTATAGAAGACAATACGATATAAAAAACAGGCTATATATTGCCAACAACCGAAGGTAGATCACCATTCTAGGGACCATCCCTTCAGCCGTCAGCAATTCAGTCAAATTCAAATGACACAGATTCTACGATTAAAAACGTGGAAAGTTTAAATTTACTTTGCATGTTTTGGGACTTACGTATCCTCTCAGGAGGACAAACATTTTACAATACTACGAGCCGAGGATACGGCTACTAACAATCTCAGTTGCTAATTCATACTAAACCAATTATTAAATACATCTATCTACAAAACATATCATTCAAAATGAATTACTAGTAATTAAATCAATTTCTTTCAAAAACTCAAAGATTAAATGAAAATTAATATTTGTAAAGGATACATTGAAATATTTATACCTTATGATGGAATATTCAACACAGTCAAGCAGCAAATGCTGGACTGTGGTTCTCTCATCACAAGGGATACAAAACGGAGGATCTTCACCTTTCAATGGGTATTTATGAGTATATCGTGTGTGGCCAATACGACATCGTCGTATGATGACCTCTTCAAATCTGGACTGACAACCCAAGTAGGTGTAACCAATATAGGGTTATATGTCATGTTATTGATACCTACTTGGGTGCCCCACGTCTTCTACATCAAATCACGGATGTACGTTCTAAAGCTAGTTTTGTAATCAGAGTATGGGATAAGAAGTAGTGTCACAGATTTGTTGAGTGCTGCCTTATCAGCAAAATCGGCCATTGCATTCTCAGAAATTCCAACGTGGCTGGGTAACCAACAAAAGACGATGTCGATGTCGTATTGACCAGTGGCAAGGTCATTATATGATTCAATAATTTTGTTTGAAAGTGAATGTTTGCAAGAAAGATATTTGATAGCCTGCAGGTATGACGTGAGGTGAGGGGAAATTGGGTTTAACGTCGTGCTTGAGAATATTTCGCTCATATGACGACGTGCATACGCGAGTATGTGTATATGCGGCTGCTTGTACTAGCCAAGACTGAAGCTGGTTTTACAGTGCAACCAGAAATTATTGAGAATTAAGATTGTAATTTGTTTTAAATTTTCACTCATTACTCACGTATTAAATGTGAATATTAGCAGAACATAACTCCAGATTCAAAGACAGGTGAACAGTTAGTATTTAGTATTCAGCCTGAAAATATGATATATTGTTTATATTTAAGGTGTTTATTAATATGTTTTAAGGCTGTTAATATGGCGTTAGCTTCTGCTGTGAATATAGAGCTGTTATCAGGCAATCAAGGAGATATTGTTCTGGACCCAATGACAGTGGTACAAGCCACTGCGCCACCATCCTTGCATCTCTCTGTAAATAAATATTTGTATGTATTATATTACTTTTTAATTTATTTTATTCTTGTTTATATTGTAATTCATTAGTTTCTGATTTCTTATACTTTGTGAGTGTTAGGTCACCCTGTGGCCTCACTAATTGCCAAGGAGGAGAAGAAAGAAGACGGGAAGGAGATATATTTTCCAGCTCAATGCCGGCAGCAGAAATGAATGGTTTAATTCTTAAACCATGAGGTGGAACAAGAGAAGACCTTTAGTTGGACAGATCTTCATTAAGATAATTGAAAACAGTCAAATGGAGGATTAGACGGGTTCGAATAAAATTTTGTTGTATATTGCAAGGATAATTTTATACGGCGTCAGCCTCAACATAGAGACTGTCAACAGGAGAAGTTCTAAAAGACCCAAGACAAAGTCTTAGCCTTGGTGGTGGACAGAATCAAGTAGATTTAGGTTGCTTTTGCAGGCTCCACCATATACGATGGAGCCATAATCAAGTTTAGATGGCACAAATAATCTGTATAAATTAAGGAGGGTAGTTTGTTCCCCTCCCCACTTTGAACTGGAAACAACCTTTAACAAATCTAGTGCCTTCAGGCATTTAGCTTTAAGGGATATGAGAATGTGAGAATCGAAAATTAGACCCAAGAATTTGACCTCCTTTACAACTTTGATGGGAGTGCCATTTGAAGACGGTTCTGGGTCCTTATGCGGCTTATATTTTCTAGAAAAGTGTATGCAATTAGTTTTTGACTTAGAAAATTTAAAGCCGTTGTCTAGACGCCATTTATTTATTTTGTTTAGACACAACTACAATAGTATGCATATTTTTACCTCGACAAGAAATATTAATATCATCCACAAAAAGTGATGCATCGATTGAATCATTTAAAACCTTGGATAAACTGTTGATCTTAATACCAAATAAAGTGACAGACAAAATGCTGCCTTGTGGGACACCCTGATCCTGATTGTAATGGTCAGACAGGGTTGAACCAACTAGAACTTGCAATTGCCTGTCTTTTAAAAACAGTGATATAAGAAGAGGTAAACGGCCCCTCAAACCAAAGTCATGTAAATCCTTCAAAATGCCATGCTTCCAGGTCGTATCATAAGCTTTCTCGAGATCAAAGAAAATTGATAATGCATGTTGTTTATTGACTATAGCATTTTTAACAAAGGATTCTAAACGTACCAAATGACAATGGTACTTCGATTTTTCCTGAAACCACATTGAATATTTGATATAAGGTTATTGGTTTAAAGATACCAGGTTAATCTATTATTCACCATTCTTTCCATGGTTTTACAGACACAGCTGGTGATAGATGTAGGTCTGTAATTCGATGGATCTGTATGATCTCGGCCAGGTTTTGGTATTGGGATTACACTGGCATTACCCCATGAAGGAGGAAATGCTCCAGACGTCCATATTTGGTCAAACGTGTCATCAGACATGGTTCAGGTAAGTGTTGCGTTAGCTGGCAGTGTATACTGTCAGTGTCATGAGCTTGCTCAAGAGCTGTATGTAACTCATGAATGAAAACACTTCATTATAATCTTCACCGTTATTTGATTCGAAATTAGGTTTTGTCTTTTACTGTTGTTTCTGATATCTCTGAAACTCAGGGACACAATTTGCTGATAATGCATTTTTGGCAAGAGTTTCGCCAAGTTTAGATTTGTCAGTAATTAATTATAACCATCTTTATGATGGTAAACAGCAGATTTTGAACCTTTGCCCATAATTCTTTGAACCATGTTCAATACCTTGAATTAATTTTGGAGACATAACTTCTCTAAGATTTCCGTTTGTTTTGTTTGAAGGTACGACGCATTGAGTTTTTTTAGTATATTTAAGTTATGGACAGTTGGATGATGGCGGAAATAATGCTCTGCCCTTTCCCTCGCTTTTTGGGCTTGTCTACAATCTGTATTAAACCATGGTTTTTGTACATGTGGAGTCGAAGAGGACTTTGGTATACACTCATCAGCTATTTCATTTAAAACGTCAGCAAAAACTTAAATGGGATCAGTTATATCACTGAAGCATTCAGGTCGCAGTTTCGATTTACAAATTGTTTGATATAAAGGCCAGTTAGCCTTCGAAAAGTTCCATCTTGTATACGATGGAGAATCAGATGGAGCTATTTCTGAAGGGATAGTTGGGAAGTGGTCACTTCCACAAAGGTCATTATGAACAGACCAATCAAATTCATTCAGTAGGTTAGAATCTGCAAGAGACAAATCCAGAGAAGAATAAGTGTGCAGGATGCAGATAGGTGCTTGAATCATCATAAAATATGCACAGGTCATTATTGGAAATAAAATCTCCAAGTATTTTGCCTTTAGTATTAGTGATTGTTCTGCCCCAGAGTGGGTTGTTTCTGTTTAGGTCACCCATAATAACACATGGCTTCGGGAGTTCATCATAGAGTGATTGAAGATCCGTCAGTTGAAGTGTCGATGAAGGTGGAATATACAGAGAGCATAACGTAAATGCTACACCCAGAGTAAGTCGCACTGCAACAGCATGGAGATTAGTGTTAAGTGTAACAGGGCTGTGAATAACATCCTGTCGTATAAGGAGAGTAGAACCTCCAGTGGCCCTATCATCCAGAGGTGAAAAATAATGATAGGCTTCAAACTGACGTAAGCTAAAATTATCTGTCTGTTTCAGATACGTCTCTTGCAGACAGAACGCTGATGGTATCAAATCCTGGCTTAATAGCTGTATTTCATTAAGATTTGTCCGTAGTCCTCTACAGTTCCACTGCACGATATTTTTAGATAGACCTATCATTTAGGTGGATTTATAGGGGATCTACCCCACACTTTTTCGAGGGCGACAAGCTATGTGCCCTAAGATGGACGTTTTCGGACACGTCCATGTCCTCAAGTCATCCGTATTTGTTAAATAATTAAATTTTATCATCTGTCCCTTTTGAGGCTCTGCCACTTTGTTTTTCGAAGAATCTGGCATCGGTTTGCTTTTGCTTTAGACGATTTGTTGAACGTTTCTGTTAGGTTGAGTCATTTGAGATGACTGAGAAGATGTATCACGATCATAACATGGTTCTGATTGGGTTTGGGTCGTGCCAGGAAGTAAAGTACTCTCGGAAATAGAAAACAACTGTTTTTTCACATTTATATCTACAATTTAGGTAGTTAATATGTGAAAGTGTGAAATATCTGTTGAACTAAGTTCGACCTAACTATATTCTCAGTGGTAGTCTGACCACCCGATCCCGTTAGTCGCCTCTTACAAGCATGGGTTACTGAAGGCACATTCTAACCCGGACCTTCACGGGTCATACTATATACAAGTATACATAGCAGCAGAGCAATAAGTTACGGGCGTTTTCTATAAATTACCCCTATTCATCTATGCCGGGAAAAAGTGCTCTGCTGACAACAATTTTAGCCTGATTAACCTGTCTAGAAATGCAAAACACATGACACCATAAAGTAATTAAAGGCCATACAGGAATTGTCCTCCGAAGAGGGAACGTAAGACCACATCATTCAATGAATGTTTATCATTCACAGAGTTTTAATCTTAGAATTTGTGTTATTTTAATTTATGGCGAATTCGCTCAAAAACTGCAAGTAGCTGTAGGGATGATTTTAATCCTGCTTGGGCCCATGCAGGTAGCAATAATAATGGTCACTGGCATTGTGATCTACTTTGAGTTGCTGGCAATGGGTTTATTCTGTTATTCATTTTACACTGATCTCAAACTAATTATAATGAATCTGTGATAATCTGGCTGTTATACAGTCCATCGCTAACAGCTTTTTTTTTAAAAAGTATATATATATTTAATCTTGGTACGCGAATTGCTGTCGTCATGATATTGCTGAAATATTGTCGATCTGACGTTAAATGTTTACTCATTCCCTCGCTGACACCATGCTCATTACGCATGCGCACCTCCAAGTAGAACTTCAATGATAACTTTACAAGTGTATGTTCACACCACTGTTTTCGCATCTTCAGCTTGAGTATGTATTTCCTTGAATTTTATTCTCAGACAGTAGTTTCTACCAATGGACCACTAAACTTTGGGATGTCCTTTTATCGGAAAACCCTGGTACCTTGAAACACATACAAAAAAGATGAATGATAATGGGTAACTCTAACTTAAATGTCTTACCCAAGATGTCCACTATGGTGGTAAATTGTCTGACGATGAACCACAAAGTATGGGTCTCCTCCAAGTATATTCAGAATTTTGTATTCCATCTTCTGTTGGTTGTCTACCAACATATCTCGGGTGTATGTCGCTACGTAGAGTATATTGTCTGAAAAATGTGTATGTATGTTGTAATGTAAAATTTATATGTTTTAGGTCTCTCTCTCTCTCTCTCTCTCTCTCTCTCTCTCTCTCTCTCTCTCTCTCTCTATCTCTCTATATATATATATATATATATATATATATATAGTATAGATATATATTGCTATAAGTTAGAATATTGCTGAGTGTGGTGTAAAACTAAACCGACTCACTCACTCAAATTATACTTACCTTCCTGGTCATAAAACAATCTTGTAAAGTCTAATG